TTTTAGTTCGTGAGTATGAAAAACATTTATTAGGTATTATTCAAGATATGAAATATAAATCCCCATACTTTATATTGCATTAAAAATTTTATCAAATCAAAGGTTTACATCAGCCTTTGGAACCACCATGTTAATTGGATGATGGCCTTTTGATTATCACCTTGCCGATGAATCTCGGTAAAGATTTGCATTGGGTTATAGTCTAAATCTGCTCCTGAATCTACTGGTTATATTGAACTAGATTCCAACTTATCAAGATTCAATTTATTGAGGTCTTGTAGATAACAAACAAGATTTGAATCAGCCAGGGCAGCCTCTCCTTCCTGGCTGATTCATCAAGATTCAGTAAAAAATCTTGATTTGGTACATAAGTATAAAGAACGTTAATTAGTTATATTATTTAGTTTTATGGCTAACAACTTGATTCTTTGTTTTACATTACCTCTGGAAGGGGGAGAATTTGTGGTTATATAGTAAAATTTTAACAAAATTTTAATTTTTCCAAATTGTTCCATGACTATTGTAATAAATTAACATTTTTGTTCTAAACTTATCTTTTAATCAGTAAATTTTCCACTTGTATATAATTTAATTGTATTAATTTCTTTTAATTATTTTATAACTTATTAAAATAATAATGATGGATTGGCTTGGTGACTTAATCAAATGAATACAGCTGTTTGAACCTGTTACAATCACGCATCTAAAACGTTTCATGGCTAATCAAATCTCAAGATCAGGTGTAACGTTACACGAGCAGGAAATTCAAAACAATCGTTCGTTTTGTCAAAAATCGCTTAGAACACAACATTTAGTATATGGAACTGCCTTCTGCGCATTAATTAAAAGTTTTCCTTGTAAAATTTTGATATAAAATTGTCAATTTAATCTCAATCTAATGGCAAAATAATGACCCTAACCTAAAAACACGAAATTTTTACTTGAAACTTTTTTTGGTGGCGACTTTACCCTTGATGAGTTTGTATTACAGGCACACAAATGTAAATAATGGCATTCTTTATGATTTTTATCACACATAAAATTTTATTTTTATTCTTCATTAATATAATTCATGGCATCAAAAATATTCATTGGCAGTATGCCCGAATTAATGGAAATTATTCTTAATAATTTAAAGAATGAATTTTATTCCTTATACTCATGCGCACTTGTGAGTCAACATTGTGCAAAATGTCAACTCCTATTCTTTGGCAGGATCCATTTTCATCTTATCGAAAGCCATCATTTATTTCTAAATGTTTTTCATCTCTTAATGACGACGAAAAAATTTTTTAAAGAACCATGGGATTAATCTGGAATTTCCTAAAACCCTATTTAATTATGCAAGGTTTCTTAAGGTTCTTAATTTATTACGTCTAGAAGAGATGACTAAAAAATGGCTCAAACTCCAGCTTGTTGGTTCGATATCATCTGACATCTCATTGAAATATCACATAACTAATTTATTGGTTAAATTATTTATTGAGAATGGCGCTTCTTTGCTCAAATTACTGTTAAAACCTTCTGATACTAAAATTAAGCCAAAGATCTTTTACTCATTAGGGCAAATGTGCAATTTTTCTCTCAACTTCAAGATTTATATTTGGGTACAATAGAAAAATACAGCAACTTCACTGAAGATGATGCTGTTACATTATTAAAAATCTTGGCAAAAAACTCTACAAAAATTAGTGCATTGAAATTGAATTTTATACTGATTATGATCCACAATTATATCGTGCGCTTGTATGCATTATTAACTCGCAAATGCAACTCATGCAATTCACTTTAGTCGGTGGTGGTGATCCTGATGAATTTTATGGTATCATTTCTGCTTTAGAGAGTCAAAAACAATCATTACGGGAACTTCTAATAAATCATTGTGTCTGTAATAAAGATTTCGAGATATTAACGAAACATTAACGAAATGTAAAAATTTAGAAATTCTTCGTATCAGGTATTGCGAATATGCAAAACTGTTAACATTATCTGATTATAAAATTAGCACTTTAGAGATAGTTGATTGCAAGATTGATGTTTCGAAAATAGTGTTAATCTTAGAAAAGTCTGGCACATTACTATAACGACTAAAACTTAAATCATTAGAAAAATTATTTCAGAACAATCGTTATTACTAGAAACACTTAAGCCCTTCTGCCCAAACATTGTGAATCTCAACATTTTGAAGATCGAGTTTTCTTCGCAACTCATAGATCTTATTGCAAATTTACAAAAATTTCAATTTCTTATATTACGTTGTTTTGGTATACTGATAACATCAAACTAGAAGAACAAGTTCTACAATTTGCAGAAATATTACCGTCAACATTGCAATATCTTGACGTGAGGACTTGTTGTTTTGATTTATATCTTGATATTTTGCCAGTAATTGTTATGCACCTTTAAAAAAGTTGCTAATTATAAACTTCATAATGAGAAACAAGCTGAGGCGCTAATCAAATTCTGTATACGAAAACGAACATTGTATTACGTGGGTATGGGCACGTATTTGGATGATAAATTTATAGAAAATAGCGAGATTTTATAATTGGATTTTTATAATTCATCTTAACATAATAAAATCTTATTAAATTATTAATTTATTGTCACAAGAATAAATTCACAGCCATGAATATGAATAGGGATTATGCCATAAAAATTTGAAAGTATGCCTTCAGCTCTACAAAATACTAAAATATTCGTAATCGGCGAGGTAATTCATAAGTTTGATAAGGGTATATTTTCACAGTTCAATTTAGCCAACGATCATAAATATAAGTTATAAATCTATTAAAGCTGGTAATTTATTTTCAAAAGGTTTATTCGCTTATTTATAACCTAAAGAAGTATTGCTAGTAAATAGGTTAACGAACGTAGCAATAGGATTTTATAAAAATATTTTTTTAATTAAATATCTTTATATATATTCATGCATCTTATTTATGCTAATTTTAAACACTATGAGTATGTTTATAAATTCAATAACGCTCTGGTTCCTTATCTAGTAGTGCATAATTCGTGATTTATTGTTATTAGCGAACAATGATTTTAGTAAACATCGATATGGCAAGCAAAAATTATATCTCTATTGAGTTCTTGGTTAAGAAATACACTTTCAATTGCGCAATCAGGTATTAATTGGGCATTTTTCATATGGACCTCGATTTACAAACTTTACCCATCATTCTGCAAAATATGAAAATAGTTGGTAGTAACTTCAACAGTAAGTTATGGTTTAATGAATTTAATAGTAGGTATGTTTGTGATTTTAACAGTGAATTAATTTACAATTTAGGCTGTTGATAAGTTAATGAATTCAATACGGGCAATAACGGGCGAGTTCATTATTTCAATACTGGATAGGTTCGTGATTTAACAGTGGATGTGTTAGTGATTTTAAAAATGATAAGTTCTAATTTAGCAAATTGGTTGCTGATTTAACAGTGGCAGGTTTTTTAGTAATTTCAACAGTGAAGTAAGTTAAACAACAATAAAATATTCTTGATTTAATAATGCGTGATCCATGATTTTAATAATAAGTGAATTAATAATTCTTAGGTAAGTTCATAATTTCAACAATGTTTATAGTATGAATTATAGTTGTAATCGAAACCCGAAACATTTCAGAAACCTACAAATTAGAATGTTAAAAATTAATACTCATTTGCTATAAAGTAACCAAAAAAACTCTTGGAATGCAATCTAATTATAATATACTTTAAAGTTTTAACTTTTAAATCTAAATTTCTAAGTTTTTCAGTATAGTGTTCGAGTTTCGGAAAAGGTTTCGGGTTTCGGGTTTCGGGTTTCGGTTTTGGGAATTTATATATAGTTTCGGGTTTCGGGTCACAACTATACTATGAATTCAATAGTGAATAAGTTAGTAATTTTAATAATTGGTGGGTTAATAATTTTAAAAACAGAGGCTAATAAGTTCGACAGAATGTTGATATTAATAGTGTGTAGATTTAATTTTTTGATTAACTATTATTAGCATAGTTAAAAAAACTTTATTTTTTACACAAACATCATGTAAATATTCAGTATATGAAGTCACTATACAGTATACAGATTTATCAATAAGTAGCACAGTTAAGATCTACAATTAATTTTAATTAAAAATATAATTAAACAATAATTTTAATCAATTAGTGTTAGAGTTAGATGTCAGATTTAGTAAAAGGCATAGTTTATAGTAAAATTTCACCAAAAATTTTTCTTAGAGCAAAATTTACCAAAATTCTTCTTAGAGCAAAATTTACCAAAATTTTTCTTAGAGCAAAATTTACCAAAATTTTTTTCCTAGAGCTTAAAAAATGATTTCATAATTAAAATTTTGATATTTTTGTACTACCAGCACAAATAAGTAAACAGTAAATAACGATAAACCCTCGAAAAGCATTCGCATTACACGACACATTGCATTTATTTGGACTATGCCGGCAAATGATTAGGCCGGATGTTATTTTTATTGAAAGTTGTCAGAAGTATGAGAGAAGTGATTGATGGCAAGAACGGCAATGACATCCCGAGAAAAGCAATCATAATTGCTCTGGGAGTCGTCGTAGGATTATTGCAGCCGGTGGTTTCCCGCCTGCCGAAGCAGGCTGGCTGCGAGTGAAGATTGCAAGTGAAGAAATGCAAGCGAGGAAATGATAGAATAACGTGTCTTCTCTATTTCAGAGTGGGGTGGGTTGGTCGCGCGAATTTTCCGTTCAAGCACTTGTGGACCTGGTTTCGTTGTATATAGTCTTTATACTTACCATTTTACTTGGTTTTTTACTCCATACGTATTTCATTGTTGTTAACCGCACTTACTAATTTACCTTTGCTGTTAGTTGCACTATGCGACAGTCCTTTTTAAAATTTGGTATTTTTTATATCTTAAAGTAAATTTTCTCAACAACTATGCAATAAAACATAATAATTTTTTTATTTTAATTCTATATGCGTTTAGAATTGCAATAAAAAAAGGTATCGTCGAGTTTGACCTGGTAGTTATCGAAAAAATTTCATTTAAAGTTTTAAAAAAACATCGAAAATCAAATATAATAATATGGTTATGAATATGGTTTTTAAAATTTAAATGAAAATTTCTCAATAACTACTGAATAAATTTGATAAAGTTTTTTTTATTTTGATCCTAAAAGTCTGTAGAATTAAAATCGAACTCGAATTGGTAGTCGTTAAGAATATTGATTAAAATTGAAAAAAATTTAATCGCAGCTTCTCTTTTACAAGTACTAAAACTTTGAACCAAAATTACTCGACATATACCTGATCAAATTTGATTAAAATTTATTTATTTTAATTCTATGAGATTATAAAATTAAAAATTGATCGGTTAAGTGCCGAGAAGTTTCGTTCAAAATTCAAGCACCTGTAAAAAGGAAGCTGTGGCTAAATTTTTCAATCAAGATTTCTCAACAACTACCAATCCTGATTAGATGATTTTTTAATTTTAATTCTAAAGTTTGCATAATTAAAATAAAAAAAATTTCATCAAATCTGGATAGGTGGTTGTCGAGAAATCGTTAGTTAAAGTTAAATTAAAAAATTCGTTACACCATCTTTTTTAAAAATTTTTTAAAAAAAATTAAATGATGATTTCTCAATAACTCTATATAAATTCAACGAAAATTTTTTTATTTTAATTATGTAACATTATAGAATGTAAATAAAAAAATCATCGAATTTGGGTTTGTAGTTGTTGAGAAATATTGATTGAGAGTTAAAAGAAATTTAGCAGTAGCTTCTCTTTACAGATGCCTGAATTTTGAACGAAAACTTCTCGCAATTACCTGATCAAATTCGATCAATTTTTTTTTATTATTTTAATTCTATAATCTCATAAAATAAAAAATTTTTGATCAAATTTGATCAGGTATATGCAGAGTAATTTTTGTTCAAAGTTTTAGTACCTGTAAAAGAGATGTTGTGGCTAAATTTTTTTTTTTTTAATCAATATTTCTCAATGATTACCAATTCGAATTTGATTTTTTTTTTTTAATTCTACAGATTTGTAGGATTAAAATAAAAAGATTTATCAAATTTGGTTCAGTAGTTACCGAGATATTTTCTTTTAAATGTTAAAACCCATAATTATAACTAGAGATGTGCCATTTATGATACCCGAATTTTTTTCACGTATAGTACATTGTGACGCAACCAAGTTTCAGAATTAAACTTTGGCTTGTAGAACATGTGTAATATGTAGTGTAACTCTATAATAGTCTATGCGAAGTTTATAGTAAAGAGTATACTTTAACTAGACTTTTATATAGTTATACGACATATTTGTAAATAGTAAATAGTCAATTTGTAGTATAATTATATGTATAAATGTTGACATATAGAACGTTAGTATGGAGGGTTAGTTTTAGAGGTACTTTATTTTTAGTGGATTTTTATCTTTCGGTTTTGTTTGTATTGTGCTCTTAGTAAGTTTGGAACTTACTAAGTAGTTAGGGAAATAAGTGTATTGGTACTATTAGTGTGTCTGGGACACATAGTAAAGGATATTTGTGTGATACTTTCTGGTGCCGTTTGTGATAATAAAGCACTCAGTTCATTTCTATTAATGCTTACAGTCCTCTGCTAAATTGGCACGGTTGATACTAAATCTCTCCCTTGACTGTAACAACATACAGTACATACAATACGTATAGTGTGTATCTAGCGATTTTATTGGCTAGCAGAAAGGACCGGCAAAAATTTCTCATACAGAACGTAGTGCACGGTACGTATAGTACTGTACGCGGCACATCTCTACCGTATTTCTCTCGATTTTCGATGTTGTTTTAAAACTTTAAATTTAAAACTTTAAATGAAAATTTCTCGATAACTACTAGGTCAAACTTGACGAATCTTTTTTTATTTCAATTCTATAAGCTTGTAAAATTAAAATAAACAAAATTATTAAGTTTAATTGCATAGTCGTTGAGAAACCATTGCTAGAAGTTATGAAAAATGCCAAATTTTAAAAAGGGCCGTCACATAGTGCAGCCAATAGAAAATTAGCAAATGCGTTGTTAACCATACCGGTCTTTTGATTAACTATATTAGTCTTCGATCTTGTATGCTGCGCCCACTTCATTTAACCATCTACTGATTGGTCTTAAACTGCGATGGCATTTTCTTCTTTCAATCACGTGATACTATCACTTCGATGATTGATAGGTTTTTATCACGCACAAAATTCTCTATTTATAAGCACTGCATTTCCTAAAATCGATCTACGTTTATTCTCCACAAAACTAATTCATGGCATCAAAAATATTCATGGGCAATATGCCCGAAATAATAGATAAAATTCCTAATAATTTAGAGAATGAATTTTATTCCTTATACTCATGCGCACTTGTGAGCCGACATTGGTGTAAAATGTCAATTCCTATCCTTTGGCAAGATCCATTTTCATCTAATCTAAATCCGTTATTAATTTCTATACATTTTCATCTCTTAATGATGACGAAAAGCTTATTTTAAAAGCACGTGGAATCAATCTAGAATTTTCCAAAAAACTATTTAATTATGCAAAATTTCTTAAGGTTCTTAATTTATTTTATCTAAAAGAGATGACTGAAGAAAATGGTTCAAACTCCAGCATGTTGGTTCGATATCATTTGACAATCAGTTGACAAATCACATAAATAATTTACTAGATAAATTATTTATTGATAATGGCGCCTCTTTGCACAAATTACTTCAAATTACTGTTAAATCATTCTGGGTTTGAAGTTAAGCCAGAGATCTTCTACTTATTAAGACGCAATGTGCAATTTTTTCTCTCAACTTCAAGAATTAACTTTAGATACAATACCAGAATACGACAGCGTCCATGAGGTTAATGTTATTTAATTATTAAAAATCTTGGCAAAAAACTCTACGAAAATTAAAGTTTTGAAATTTAACGATTTTTATGATGATTATAATCCACAAATATATCGTGAATTTGCATGCATTATTAACTCACAAATACAACTTATACAATTCACCTTAGTCGGTGAAGCCTTAGTCGATTATATTAAAATATATTGATAAATTCTATGCCATTATTTTGGCTTTAGAAAGTCAAAAGCAATCATTACGGGAACTTATAATTGAATATTGTAATTGTAATGAAGAGTTCGAGATATTAATGAATTGTGAAA